TGCTGTAGCTTGGCACTTAGTTTTTTGCAAGATCTTATAATTCTTTCCCCAAAAGAAAATATCACCACACTGTTTCAAAGGTTAACTTTTAACACCTATTAACTTAAAGACGTTCTTCCAGCTCAAAAGCAAACCTTATAGTCATTTTCTAAAACTGAACCCATACACTCACATGCAAATTTAGTTGCCTAAAGAACACCCACCATGTATCCAAGGTACAAATTCAATAATTCTTAACTTGTTTTGTATCAGACACCACTTTAAAAATCCGAAAAATGTGATAGAATTCTCCCCATAAGATATGGACATACACATGCAAAATGTGTACACCATTTTGACCTGTTCGCTGCATTTCAAAATTCAATCCTGGATTTAAGAATCTCTACACAGAGCCCTGGTGGCACAGTGGTTAAGTGCTACGGCTGCTAACCAAAAGGTCGGCAGTTCAAATCCACCAGCCTCTCCTTGGAAACCCTATGGGGCAGTTCTAGTCTGTCCTCTCGGGTCGCTGTGGGTCGGAAGTGACTCGACGGCAATGAGTTTGGTTTTTATACCTAATACACGAGAAAATTATGACTGGCTGCTTCTGGCGAAGGGAGCAGAGAACTAGAACAGGGCTAGGAGGGAGATTTTTCACTATATATCCTTTTGTACCTTTTGAAATTTGAATGATGTGACTGTATTACCTATTCAAAAAAATGAGTAAGTTTAAAGAAAAAAGACATCACACTAAATAATGTCGCAGGATACCAACACAGTAGGTGAAAATCTCCAAATAAAGATGCTTAGAATAGCTGTTCTACTAAATTCAATAAGTCTGCAAACTGTGTCTTCAAATTCTGGGGCTGAAACGGTTCATGACTGCCAAACTACGCTCCTGTTTCACAATTTTCAGAGAGGTTTCCATTTTCAACTTTTTGCTAGGAAAATATAAAAAGTCAAATAATACTTCAACAGTATTCATATTCTAACTTCTAAAAATCTCAGTTAAGCAACAATAGCTAGTATCTATTTATTATTATTATTATTTTTATTATTATTACCCAGTTTTACAGACAAGGAAACCAAGGTTTTCAGGAGTTAATTCACTTGCTCAAAACAACACAACTATTAAGGAGAGAACTAGGAATTTTGTAGGCAACGAAGCCCGTGCACATTCCCCCACGGGACACTGTATCACAAAAATAACAAGGAGGATGGTAAACACTAAAACAGAGGACATTATTCATTTGAAAAACTGTTTTTATTGTAAATATTAATTTAGAGCATTCGCTGATCATAAGAATATGGAATTATACTGCACATTCCTGCTTTACATTATCCAAAGCAGATACAGACGAACCAGGAAGAATTATCCCACTCAATAGACAGAAAAAAGGTACAACCATTAGAGTTTCAAATTAAGAATTTTTATAACCTTACAAACTGTCACCCTAAAAAGAAATAAAAAATGTAAGCTGAACCTTAAGCCTATGGTTAAAAATTTTACAAACAAAAAAAAAGCGTTTTCATAGAGAAAGCATGTTATAGAAACACAATGCTAGCAGTCTGAAGATTCCAATACCAAGAGGCAAAAAGTTTCTTCCTGCTGATTGGCGCCTTCAGTCATCATAAAACCCATTGCCATCGAGTCGATTCTGACTCATACCGACTCTACAGGACAGAGCAGAACTGCCCCATAGGGTTTTCCAAGGAGCAGCTGGTAGATTCGAACTGCCAACCTTTTGGTTAGCAGCCGAGCTCCTAACTACTGCGTCACCAGTCATCATACCTTTTGCAATATTTAATAGCGAATGCCCAAACTATCTGCAAAACGCCTCAGAAATGGAGAATGAATTGTAAGGCGAGAAATAATGATGCCACCTTCATTATAATTCCATCTTCAAAGAATTGGTATTTTTCAAAAACATTTCACTCAAATCTAAACTTATAATTTCACTCAAATCTAAATTTAAAGAATCTTTTGAAGTCAAAGAGAAAAGAAAATAAGGCATGGGAAGATAGGGTGGCGAGAGAACATAAATCATCTAACCAGATACTAATACTACTTGTAATTATTATAAGTACGTGTGCGTGTGTGACAGTGCGTGTGTGTGTGTTTGCCTAAGTGTTTAGTTTGTCATTATTAAGTGTCTTAGCTAGATAACTGTCAAGGCTTGCTGTCATGTTCTGCTGTGTAGGCACAAGCAAGGCATCCAAGTCTTCACTTTTCTTATCAAGCACATAAGGCTCTAAACCTCAACTGGGTTTTCCTTATCAGTAAAATGAGTAAGACCCCTTCAGGCTCAAAAATTTTAGGACTCTTAAAACATTTTCAAAGTAAATAAATACGGAGACAATTCAAATGTTTATATTTGCCAAGTTCATCCTACATTTTCATTACACATAGCTGGGGAAAAGGCAGGTCACTATATACTTACAAAAAACTGCATGCTAGTGCTGCTTTCTATAGAAAATAACATAATACAAATACCAAAACCCCACTCCACCTATTAGAAAAAAAAGGTAAAATAGATGAAACTTTCCATTCGCTTTGAGTTACAGTTCTGCAAGTAAAGAGACTTTTAAAATGATAAGAATTCACAAGTCTTATCAGTCAAATATTATTATATATTCAATAAACACCCAGATAACAAATATACACCCAAGAGTAATCATTACTGAATACCTAATTTCTGCACTTTCAAACATTACATCTTAAAAAGATGAGTTATATAATTACTATGTTTACACAATTTCCATTTTCAAACTTCCCTGAAAAAAAGACCTGGAGAGCATCTTTTACCTTTTTCTTTAAGCAACTCACAAAATTTAATTGCAATTTATAGTATACCCCAAATAAAATTAACTCAAATCTTCTAATTTAGTCAAATCAGTACTATAGAAAAATTAAATCAGTAACTGTCCTTTGGCAGGTATATATAATTTATTCTGGGAATTAATCCTAAAGCAATAGGAGGGAAAAAATCCTAGAAAAGAAATTCTTCCCACATTTTCTTTGTATTCCAAAAGTAATTTCCTAAAAGTTGGTGAGAAGACAACACACAAGTAAAAGTTAATTCACTGTAAGAAAAGAAATGTCATTTAACAAATTCTGCATTCACTACAAAAATTAAGAGCAAATATACATCTCTGAAGTCTATATCTGATTTTACTTCTTTATAGGCAGATATGGAAATTTATGGAGTGAGTTCCAGAATATTTACCTAGAATCTGCTTACTACACAAGAACCACTCTTAGGTAGTCTGAAATTAGGGTTGTGGATACATCTAGTTTTACATGATCCTGTTGCTCTCCAATTCTCCCACGCTGGCAAAATATTCAAGTTTACAAAAATCATATTCTTGGAAAGCAGAATTCTTGCAAAATTTTCAATACAACTTGACTTCACGTAAATGGAAAAAAAAGCGACAACAAAATATTAAGACATGTACCCAAACTCTGCTCCGGCATGCCTGTTTCATGACCACAAAACCAATACTCTGGCAATGACTGGTCAGTAAGTTCTAATTTAACTGTTTACCCTGAACCCCAAGAAATTAATGTAGCAATAAAGTTTAATTAGATTCCATTTAATCCTGAAAATGCTTTATCTGCTTCCTCAGAATAAAGTCCTTTGCCAGATATAGGAGCCAATAACTATTACATGTCTACTTCAGATTAAACAAGTTACTAAAGAAGTCAATATGCCTCCCAACTTTGTACGTCAAGCGTGGTTAGTTTTATCTCTAGAGTTTTCCCTTCCTTTTTCTTCCAAAGCCTCATAAAGAGTATTTTCATTTTTAACCAACAAAATCTTTAGCCAAAATTTTCTCCCCAAAACTCATAAGAGCTCATCTTTACTAAGTGGTACATATATCATCTTTACAGTATTCAATATTCATTTAGTTTCCACCAATTTCAGGTATAAACATCGAAATACTACTCATGACTCTCCCTGCCTTTACCAAAAAAAAAAAAAAAGGGTCACACGGGAAACATAAAAGTTTGAAATATTCTAGACTAAATTTTGAAGACCTTTTCCAATCTAACTGCAGTTTTTCTTGCAATACCTTATGATTTCACAGAACTGTTAGAGAAATAAACGTGCCTTAACAAACTAGCAAACCAGGTTATCCGATTTCCTCCCAGTCACTGAAGTACACTGTGTTGTTCGTGGCCCATCTCTCTCTACTCTTTAAGTATTCAGCAGACAAAAGTCCACCTTAAAAGGCAGACAGTTTTACAGTTTGCACTATATAAAAGCTGTGTTCTGATACATTTCAAACAATGCCTATTCATAAACATGAAGCAAACAGAAGAAAACCAAAAGGGACAAAAAGTATACACACACCCAAACAAAAGTTAAAAGGTCTAATTTTGGAGAAACAGTTCTCAAAAGATCCCTTTCCACATTAAAAATTTGTCCTTAATTCATTCCAAAGAAAAGAGAACAGAGGTGTTAAACAAGTGTGATTATCATTTATCTTTTCCATTTGTACTATAAGAAAGCAAGAGTGCATGCAATCAATTACAAACTGACCATTTTTTCTCAATTTTTAAAAATGAATTATTTCAAACACCATTTTCTATATATAAGTTATGGTATCATCTCCTCTACTAGGTCTATTTCTTGTGACTAAAACTGTACAATTTGTAGTTGTCATTGCATACAATGTATCTACTTAAATGCCCATAGAAGAAAAAATGAAAAATACAGACCCAGGCACCTTAAAAGTTTTTCTGGCATTCAGTTTTTCTACTTGTCAGTGTGAGAGATTCTCCTGATAAGAAGTTTCTTTTCACTTGTCCATAGCTATTAGATTAAACTGAGTCCTTTAAAAAGGAGAGTGGGTATCAGGTCACATAACAAGTAACTTCAATGCATCTAAAGCCTCCCCTACCCTCAATTTGCAACACAGAATTTTAACAGATACACGAAACTCCACAAGAAAGGAAATTATATTTAGAGAGAGAGATCAACTGATAAAGGAATCCATCACCTAGTCGTAAGCCTTACCTTTTAGCAGCGGCAGAGGTGTTAACTCAATAGGTTTGCCCTGAGACCTAAACTGTGAGGAACTCTGCGACCTCTTCTGTCTGGCTTTTCTGACGGACTTCCGAGAAAATCCGTCTACTTTATCCACTGATGGAGGAGTAGTTGGTGCTGAGGACATATCCCTACTGAAGAGAAAAAGGTATCATAAACACATTCCCAAGGAAGTACACAAGTGATTTATACAAATTCTAAAACTCCCATATACAGTATTCATGAAAATGGAAATGTATACACTAAAGAAAGTAAATAAAATAAGAAATGTCATGTCAATGGAAAAACATGAAAATCTGGTGAAAAATGAAAGACCATAACTATCATGTAAGCAATATCATGATTCTAATGTACTGTGCTACACCTGTTATTGTAAGCATTAAAGATGTTCATTTAGACTTGAATAACTCCTCGAAGTCTTTTGCCCATTTTTTCTAACTGCAAAGCTCTTATTCTTGCGATTCCTGAAGTAATTTTGGAGCTATTCTGATGCTGGAAAATTTCCATCAATACATTTTCCTAAGATACTTAATATTATGAATGTGCTCTGGAGTTGAAAATCTTATTGCACTTCAAGAATCTACACCAATGCATCATCACAGCAAGGTGAAATTTATAATTACTTAAACTACCTAGGCTGGATTTTTAATGCAATGTGCTGTTAGCTGTGATAAACTGCACCACACGGCAAAATGAGGACAGGCTAGACTACTTTATAACACATAAAAGGCATACTTAAAACCATCTCAAAGAAGTTTTTTTTTTTTGAATGAAGCCACCTTAAGTTATTAAAGCTTCATAAACAAAACTATGATGAAATCATGTGCCAAAGTTGAACTGAAAACATAAATTCACAGCCTATTTAGACAATCAAGTTGAGTTCCCTTGAGTTCAGACCTTCAAGTTCATCATCAAACACCAATTTTCATTCCGTCGAACTGAACAGTTCTTTTGGATTTTTAACCCTCTCAAATTACTAAAATGAAGATTATTTCCTAAAAGTAACAAGCATTGAGCTCAATTTCATTCACCAATTTAAACAGATGCCATCATTTCCATGGCACTGAAGGCTCCATGCAAGATTAATGGTAGAGTCGGACAGAAATAATTTATATGAGGGAAATGCTGAAATGCAATTACTTACCTGTCATCCCAATACAAAAGACAAGTTTTTTTTTTTTTTAACTTCTAAATGAAGGAGTAAGAGAGTTCTTCCTGAACATGTAAGAATAAAGTTATTTGTATCACCTAGACTCTGACAAAGTAAAAACAATAAAAATATAAACAAAAAACAAAAAGAACACATGACGTTCAGGTTTGGAATTTTGAAGTCTTGTTTGGGTCTATTAAAAACAAAAAGCTTTAAAAAAAAACCTACCTATTTAGCCTTACATATGTCACATATCCAAAAGGGAATTGCAAACTATGAGTGGCTATGCAAAATGTAAGATCACTTGAAAATTTCACAATGACTGCATCAGCGAGAAGCTCCACATCACATTTCTATGTTGTAAATTTAGGGGCCGCTTCTCCTATCTGGTATGTGAATTATTTAGATTTCACTCTAACCCTAACAACACAAGATTTCAGTAAATCCTGTTCCTCCATCACTTTTATCTTTCTTCTTTACTTCTCATCTCTAAAGATTATATATAGTAGCAATTTTTTTAAAAAAATCATTTGCCCCTATGCCCGCGGCCCAGAATAAACGTCAAGGATCTCAACCCTAAGGCGCTGCAGAACTGAACGAGCAGTAGCAGCGGATCCGTGCAAAGCCAGGGGAAACAGGTTTCGCCCCGGACCAGGGTTCCCGAAGCTTTATCATCCTCTAAACAGCCGGCGCGGGGCATTTATGAGGCTCAGGATAATCCAAAGGGGGAAAGAAGGTGAAGGGAGGAGAAAGACAGGGAAGGGGTTCGTCTGTAGGGATCATTACACATTGCCTTTGCTCCCACCCTCCACCCCAAGTATTATAGAAAAGAAGCTGCTACAGAATCCTCCTCACTACAAGCCCCGCTTTCTCCCCCGCCCCCGACAGCGGATAAAGGGAGACAAGAAAACGCCTCCAAACCCGGAAGGTGGAGAAAAAGCGGGGGGGGGGGGTGAGGACGGAGTGAAATGGGCGGCATCAGAAGCATTTCCAGGTAAATCAGACAAGTGGCACAGGCGCTCCCTCTCCCGCACTCCACCCCACCGCACCCCTCGCATGCCCGGGTCAGGCCTTCCAGGGGCCGGTGCCCCTCAGCTTCCACAGGAGGTTGGGGAGGAGGAAAGGAAGCGGGCGAGCCGCGGTGCAGGACGGACGAAGTTACCTTGAAGCTTCTGATGTAGAATCCGAAGATGATCTGTGGTTTCGAGGAGTGGGAGTCGGGCGAAGGGGCCGCAGCGGGCGGCGGGACTAGGACGTGCAGGGGGAGGTCGGGGCAGCGGCGGGGAGCCCGGGGCGACGGCTGTCCGGCGCGGCTGTCCCTCCGCGGCGCCTCTAGGCCTCACGGCCGGACCTGAATCTCAGCTCTCCGGCGGCAGTGGCGGCTGCCTCACGATCCTCCCCCGCGGACCCGTCCCATCAAATCGGCACCGACCCCGTTGCGGCTCCGCCGGAGGCTCCTCGTTCACATTCCCGGCGGGCGGCGCCTCTGCTCGTTGCCCCGGACCCGGCGGCGGCGGCGGCGGCGGCGACGACGTGGGGAGGGGATGAGAGAGGGAGGAAGACTGGATCCGCACCGGCAGCAGAAGGAGGAAGAAGGAGAAGGAGGAGGAGCCGCTGGAGCTGGAGCCGCCGCTGCCAGAGCCGCCGTTCGGTACCCGCGGTAGGTCCCAGTCAATGCCCCTTTCTCTCTCCTATTGTCAATATCACCGGGCGGCTGAGTCCATGGCACACGCGCAACCGAACCTTCTGGCCAGCAGCGCCCGCCTCCGGCGCCCGCCCACTGGAGGCTTCAAACGGGAAGCGAGGCCTCATTGGCAGGCGTCCGCCTTCACTCCCAGGCCAGCATGTTCGGCTGAGAACTGATCAGGGATTGGCGGCGGGGGGGCGGGGGGTCGGGAGGGTGGGAAGAGAGAAGGCCAAGGATTGGGCCGAGGCTTGAGGTACCCGGATGAAGCCGCGATCTCCGAGTGCGCTGCTGCTGCTTCCGCCAGGCGGTTGGGTAGATCGAAGGGGGGAGTCACAGCCGCCGCTAGGTTTGAGAGCAGCTCCTTAAACCCGAGAGGTGTGTGACTGGCACATCATTGAGATAGGTTTCCGCGCATTGCGGAGCCTTTGGGCGGCTGTCGTCTTCAGCCAGAGGATTCCGAAGGCAAGTGTCGGCTGAGAGTGGAGTAGCCCCTTGGGCCTTGGCTACACCCCCTTCACCGGCCGGTGTGACCGCTCTAGGGTCGGGGAGACCCACTCAGGATGGGACCCATCGCTGCATAAAAAGAAAAATTCCCCTTCCCGCCCCTCTGCACCCCTGCTATTGTATAAACGGTTCCCTGCAGCCCGCTGTGAAACCCCCCAGCAGTCGCTCTCCGCTGAATCTTTTAGGAGGCCTGGCACCGAAATCTGAATTTCTGTGCCCTAGCCAAGGGTTGAGTAACGGTTCGCATTCTCCCTCACCGCGCCTATATTTCAGTAAACCGCAATTTTGTGTATCACCTCCCTGGAGCTCCTGTAAGCCTTGGTGAGGCCAGCGCTTGTGTGGATATGCAAGTGGGAACGCTGTCGCCATGCTCTACAATCATTCATTCACATCAACTCAAAGAGACCCAACTCCATGCCAGGAATTTGCAGGATTTTAATTTGCATCGTGAATCCGAAAGAGTTCATGAAGAAACTTCACTTTAGCTAGAATAAGTGATAAAATAGAGAAGTGTCTGCATCCTAGGTGAGCCGCAGGCCAAATAGTGCTTTTCTAGAGAATGCTCTTGGACTGTTAACGCTATTTCAGTGCATGCTATATACATTTTTTTGAGAGAGAAAAAAAAAAATGGTAACTGCAAATACTAGAGTACCAATTGTTCAAAACGTAGAAAATGAAAAATTAACATTATTCATAATCTCTCCACCTAGAGATAATCACTGTTAATATTTTGGTGTATTTCCTTCCACTATTTTTTCTTTTTGTATTAATGTGTGTGTGTGTGTGTGTGTGTGTGTCTCACTCTGTAGCCTAGTTTTTTTTTTAATATGAACATTATATCATTTTTTATACAGCTAGGTAATAGAACTATATAAAAATAAAACTATGTATCATATGTACAATTTATGACAAAAAATGCATTGTGACATTGCAGGGATTGCAGTCAATGTGACAAAACAACTTGTGTATAAATTTTCTAATAAGAAACTAATTTGCACTGTAAACTTTCACCTAAAACGATAAAGTAAAATAACACAGGTTAAAAAAAAATAATGCATTGTCTTTCTCTTGTTTGTGTTGTTCAATACTCAAGTGCTGCAAATGTCTGTGTACATGCCCAGAAATGGCTTTTGCGCAGAAAAATAATTTTGTGCTAGGAAAGAGTAATATTCCAGCACTGAACAAAAATAGGAAGATGTCTGTCTTAGACCAAAGTAGGCTTCCCTTACTCATTCCAAATGATTGGCCACTATATGAATAATGCCCATATTTGCTCTGATAAAGTTCATCGCCTCTAAAAAGCCAAAACAGTTGCCGTCCATTTGACTCCAACTCATGGCGACCTCATGTGTGTCAGAGTAGATCTGTGCCCTATAGGGTTTTCAGTGGCTGATTTTTTCAGACGTGCCTTCCTTCCCAGGCACCTCTGGCTGGATTCAAACCTCCAACTTTTTGGTTAGCAGCAAAGCACATTAACCATTTGCACCACCTAGGGACTCCTCATCACCACTAGGCCCTATAAAACTGTCTAGAAAAATCACCAGTCTAGCTCCTACCTTCAAGAAACTTATATTTCCACATCTCAATTTCCTGATCCATTCTTCATGAAAGTTTAGTGTCCCAGCCAAGCAGAAATCTGTTTCCTCACTCTCTGATTCGGGGTAAGTGCAGAATTAAAACCAAGGAAGATTTTGAAGCCAACTCAATTTCCCTTGGCAACAGTAGAGCCGTTAAGGAGTAGGGCACGTTTGAAATGCTCACAGCTGTTGCTTAGAATGTTTCACATTTAGTAGAGTGGGGACTTAGCTTGCAAATTACGGATCTCTATAAAGACAATTCCTTTCAAAATCATTTCAATTTCTATAAAATGGCTGAGTAACCAAAATAAACCAAAACCAAACCTGTTGCTATCAAGTCAATTCCGGCCCATAGCTATCCTGTAGGGCAGAGTAGAGCTGCCTCATACGGTTTCCAAGGCTGTAAATCTTTAAGAAAGCACACTGCCACATCTTTCTCCCGCAGAGTGGCTGGTGGGTTCAAACCGCCAACCTTCTGGTTAGCAGCCAAGCACTTAACCACTGCACCACCAGGCGCCTCTGAAACGAGCAGGTCTTTTTAAATGGAAACATCCTTGTCTATTTGAGAAATTGTTCTGTGGGCCGATGGTCTCTAAAGGAGTCCATACATCCCACGGGCTGTGTGCACTCCAGACATTGTGCAAAGCAATCCATTTGGGATGCAGCGGAAGAAAATATGAAGACAGCTATTTATGCTTAATTTTAATCTAAAAAGAAAGACATTGCACAGAAGGACAAATATTGTATAAGACCACTATTATAAGAACTCAAGAGAAGGTTTAAACACAGGAGAAAACATTCTTTGTTGGTTACAAGGGTGGGGAGGGAGGGTGAGGGTTATTTACTAACTAGATAGTAGATAAGAATTATCTTAGGTGAAGGGAAGGACAGCACACACTACAGGGGAAGTC